TATGTTCATTAAATGCATTAAAATAAAATAAAAAACGGAAAAGGGGATTAAAAATTGTAAGTTTTTATATATATATGTGTCAAAACAAAAGGCTAATTATCATTAATTGGATAGATGATATGATATTCTTGTAAGATCACTTTGTAAAACAGTCTTAAGTATGTGGGCAGAATGTACTTTTATATTAAATAAATTGGATACTTTTCAGACAATTCAACCTATCAATATGGAGTCCGAGGCCACTTACAAGATGAATAATAAATTTCGGGGTCAAGCTCTAATTATTTGTAATGAATTCGAACAGCAAGGATCATTAGAACGGCATGGGTGTAGGGAGGACTTAAGAATGATGGAAGATTTGTTTACAAGACTAGACTTCCGAGTTATCTGTCACCAAAATTTAAAAGTAAGGGAAATGGTCGCAGAAATAAGAACAGGTAATATATATGATAAAGTATATAATAATGATACATAGATAAATATTAAACATACAAAGTAAAAAGGTAGGAAATTAAAGTGGTATTCAGACTATTAATAATTTACTAATTAACTAGGACCGGTAGCCCTGTAACACCGCACTTTGGGGTCAAACGCACTTTGGGGTTAAAATCGAGAAATTGACCCCAAAGTGCGTTAATATGCTACATATCAACGCACTTTGGGTTCCAGAGGTCTAAAGGTGTCATCTCAGTTCCGCTTAAATACTGAGTACTGACTTATTTTCGATCTGCGACATTGAAATATTTGAGGTGTAGTGGCAGTCAATACTTTATAAAAGTTTCATTAATTTTACCACTTGAAATATCTAAAAATTGTGTTCATATAACAAAATTACGGTGGCATAAAAGTGACATTTGCATTTTTTTTAGTTTTGCATACATATTTTTTCAGTTTGCATACATATTTTTTCAGTTTTGCATTCATATTTTATTTTAGTTTTTCGTACATATCTTATTTTTGTTTTTTGTACATATTTTAGCCAATCAAAACAGCCTTCACATCTCATAACAGCCCATAGTTGAGTATTAAACTAGCACAGTGGTTTGGTAACATTTCGGCCCATTTTTTAATCGACCCAGTCGTTTTCGGCGGGCAAGTCTGGTTGCGGCCGACCCTTTTCGATCCATTTTTTTTAAATTATATGTATTTTATATAATTTTGTTTTTTATTATTATATACTATTATATTAGTGTCTATTGGAAAGGGCTGTTGATTGGTGATCAGTTATTATTCCATGAATATGCACCACTCAACCCCGACCCCCTGAGAATAGCGCTGGGCATTGACTTTAAACCAAGCCGACCACTGGTTGAATCTTCGCCCTGCTTTATGCCCCGGAACAGCGCAAACATCAAAACACGATTCTTTTTTAACCCGCACTCCCCCGGGGGCAAGGGAGGTGGTGTATTACAATATTGCACAAGAAAGGATCTAAAAAGGTCCTTATATTCCGCTGATTTAGAAAAAATGCTTAAAGCTCTTAATGATATTTATGAAGCTTGGGTCAATTGTTTAGCACATCCAGATAATGTGCAGAACTTATATGCCAGGTGTGTCGGCTCAAGGTCGGGGTCACACCTACAGGTCAAAGGATTAAGACTTTGGTTCCATGTCCGATCCTTAACACATAAACCCCATGAAGGATTTTAAGGCACCTTGTGTAAAATATTAACCACATCGAGACCATATGCAGAACCTTTCTTTGGGTTACCGCGGACTATATATATACTAAAAAGTGTTGTTTTTTGATACCTCCAAAAATGAAAATGTTGGTATTTGCAAATGAAATACTGTAATTTAAAGATGGCGAAGTGTTTGAAAATGGTGTTTTACAAATGGCGTAATTGTCCAAACCTCTACTTTGCAAATGGCGTCATGTAAAAAATGTACGAAAAAAAACAAAAATAAAATATGTACAAAAAACTAAAATAAAATATGTATGCAAAACTATAATACAATATGTATGCAAACTAAAAAAGAATATGTATGCAAAACTATAAAAAAGTATGTATTCAAAACTAAAAAAAAAATGTACGTCAAAAAAAATAAATATGTACGAAAAACAAACAAAAAAGTATAAAAACAAAATGCAAATGACTCTTTTATGCCACCGTTCAAAATACTATAGTACAGAAATTGTGTATTCCTAAACTTAAAAGATGCTGAAAAAAATATCCCTTATGAAAAAATATACATTATTAAGCTTATCAACAAACTTAAGGGTTTTTGTAAGCTCTGTAACAACCGTTCGCCAGAGGCTTTTTTATGGGAAATCTTAGAGCAAACATGAATTTTATAATGTTAAAATAATGGTATCAGAGAAATGTAGTGATAAATGTGAAATTATCTGTCATAAAAGTAGTCAAGACAATGTAGTGTTTGACTTCCATATAAAATACTAATTTACTATAACTGTACTCATCATTGCCAAAAAGCAACATATGAAAAAGATGGTTCAGGTAATTGGCCAATGTGTATTTTTTGGATAATATAGAAGAACATCAAAATAAAAAAGCTTTTAAGAAAAACAAATAAAAGCATAATGGGCCTTTAAAACGTTATTTTAACCCTCGGGGGGATCGATACCCCACAATCCCCTCTATACCCACAATCAGAATTTACATTATTCTGAAGATCCGCTCTTTATGTGCGACTACTTAAATAGTATTTAAATATATATACTGCCTGTACGGACTACTACTTAAAGCCGCATCTACACCTAGTCAAGTTTCTTATATGTCACATTTAGCTGAATAAATTCAAACATATTATCAGGCACATTTTTTACTAAAATGTCTTACTAAATTTCCATGAATTTATACCTTTGTCTATATGCTAAGACTATCATATTTCTATGTGTTAATAAAAAATAATGCATTTAGCTAAAATCAATGGAGTTAATGAAAGGTGTACATTCTTTTAAAATAAATGGAAAATTTGAGAAAAAATATTTTAAGCTTAATAATTGATACAAATATTCTTTATTTGTTGATTTATTTGGTGAACGTTCTTCACTTACTAATCAAGACCATTTAAATCCCAATTAATTCTACTATAATTCAGGGCACATGTTTTGCGTCTATTTAATACTTTGATTTTTTGTTTACCATTTGCTTTGACTACAATATATTATTTAAAACATAATGAACATTAATTTTCTATGACCCCAAAGTGCGGTCGTTTGCCTGATGTTAAAAAATGCATATGTACATGTTTAACGCACTTTGGGGTCGAAATTGGACCCCAAAGTGCGTAACGCACTCTGGGGTCGGACCCCAAAGTACGTAACGCACTTTGGGGTCGGACCCCAAAGTGCGTTTGACCCCAAAGTGCGGTGTTACATAGCCCTACGTCTTTGATTATGTAAAAGTGACGTTCACAAAAGATTGCAACCAATGACTGAAAAGGTTTAATGGGTCTTTAAGAAGCGATTATAACAGTAATTTTGCAATCGAATGGTAAATGTCTGGACGGTGATTTTGGTAAAGTCGTTTGGTCGTTGCAATTGTCATGTCACGTGATCAAATATTTTGTCACAAGTTCGTTTCACAAATCGATTCTCTTGTTGTTTTGATTTTTTTTTTTTAATTTTACTTCGTAGACATAAGTAGGTTTGTTACATTGGCTAACTATTTAACAATGTAATACTATATTAGAAATAAAGTTTTATTTCCTGTATAGTGCGTAGTACAAGTAGTATTAGTAGAGTGAAGATTGGTCTACTCTATTGTACTTATGCTTACAATCTTAACATGTCTACATGTATGTAAATGTATTAAAATGGAGAAATTTGAAATAATTGAAATAAAGAAAATACACCACAGTTAAACGAGGAACATTTTCATCTAACCAGATCTATAAAAACAAAACTAGATTATCACCGTTCTAATAATGAGTTAAAATTTATGAGTGCTCGTCCAATATGGTGTATACAGCTAGGTAAACCACGGTTAAACGTTCTTTTTCTTTTTTCCCCTTTTATGGGGGGGGGGGGGAGAGAAAACACATTGAATGTTTTATTTTCAGAAATAAGAACGTTTTATATTATTTGTACATTTAAAGCAAGTGACGTAATGTAAAAAGAAAGCAAATTCGTATGGCCTTGACCTTGACCTTGTTTTATTTATACTAGCCTCTATAGATCCGATCAACCAGGAATCTGACTGTTTTGTATTGGTAATAAGTACACACGGAAACGAAATCGATTTTAGTGATCCCAAAGACAAATCAGGTAAATGAATGTTAATTCTTTGAAAAGCAAGTATTAGTGGCAATTGAATTTGTTTTCGATGAGTTTCTGTACAAATTTTTGTATAATATTTCTTTAGTATTTTTGCATGAAAACCTTAAAGTCTTAAAATATATCACGACTGTGTTACAAACACTTCTTTAGACTTACTAATGCTGACATGTTGGGGTTTTGAAAATTCATTAAAGGGTAGCGTGTTATGAGGATACGTACATTATAGGGTTTGTACCTGTGTATGAGTGCAATAGAATCGTTATTGTACTTATCAATGTATCATGACGCCTTTATTTCACACCATTTGTTTTAATTTTTTTGACAGAATGTTATTAAGTTCTATAAAGTATAATATGGAACTGATATGAACTTTGTGCGGAAAATGAAAACGATGCTAGACTAAGTAAAATTTTATAGGATATGAATTTTTTGGACTGCGGAAATTTAAACGAGGTTAGACCAAGTACAATAGTTATTTGATGTGTTATATTTACACACAAAATGAAAATGAGGCTGTATTTATAGATTTTATCCAGTTATGATTTAAACTGGAAAGTGACATGTGCTAATGGTACCATTAATAAGGTCTGAAATGAATGTTAAATGATACGCTACACGCAGTAAAAAAACATATTAATTTTTTTATCATTTTATTGGGACTAAACTTGTACATAAAGATTTTAAGATACCCACAATTTTAATAAAGATTACGCAGGAAACCATATATAATTGTTCTGGTTTTACAAATAGGTAAGACACCGGTGTGGAGGAATGTTATCTTTGGAGAAGATAAGATGCCTGTATTGGTTGACGACATTGTTAAAATATTTGATTGTGCACTTGGATTGAAGGGAAAACCAAAATTGTTTTTCATACAGGTAACCGTTATCACGGTCTAGTAACCGTAAGTGCTGTAGATTTTATTTTAATAAGATAATTTTAATACCTACACATAGAAACTACATAAAGCATTGTCCAAATCGGATTCTGAAAATGACATATGACCTGTTCTTCACCCTTTTCAGAAAAATATTCTTTGCATGTTTTAGTTAAAAATCTATTCGCTTTCAACGTTTCATCTGCATTCATTTTTGTTCGACCTTATTTCTTTTTGCGGGGCAGCTGATACATTTGTATGCAGAACGATTAATTTCGTTAATTGCGCTATACAGAACTGTAGGTGTAGAACTCTTACAGGTAAAATGACTGGCTTGCCGGTGGTTCTGTGTTCCAAGTTTTTGTTTGGGGCGTTCATTGGATGTCGCCCGTCCTTGTTTGGATTTTTGTTTTCATATTGCTTAGTTATTTGCTTTATTCATCTTTAGTTGATATACGTATACTAGTATTATTGAACATTTAATACTTATTTAAACATTATATGCTTTCTTATTCACCAGGCTTGCAGGTCGAGACAAGAAAACCCCGTGTGCAGTTCAAAATATGACTTCGGTCACTGGATTTATTCCAAAGTAGACGTTACTGAAGACGTAGATAACTTATATGGAGATATAAAAGGTGGAGTGATTTAAAAGATACTATTAAATTTTGATCATTAATTTAGAGTATTTGATCATTGCATTGTATTTGATTTTATTTGTTTTGCAATATCTTTCCAAAAAAGCTGTATTTTTGAAAAAATCAAAACAGTTAAAAAAAATTACAGCCCCTGTACATTAAACTTTTCATTTAGAGTTTTTTTCAATTGAATGAAGTCAATCAAATATGCACGAAAAGGATATAACAATAAATATTACTGTTACTGCATTCGTTTCATTTTTTACTACTTTTAACTAAAGTTCCAACACTTTCAAGGAAATACTTGTTTCTTAATGCCTACGTAACCAAACAAATTCCTCACAAATGATTAAACACATTAAATTTTATATTTATGAATAGTTATCTGTTATCATTTTCATGAATTGGTTTGTGTTTCTTGAATTATGCATTAGTTCGTTTGTATTTAGACTCATAATTTATTAATATAAATATAAATAATTTATATTTTCATGTATTTCATCTCGGGAATTAAATTTTAAAAAAACATTCATATTTTATGAATTTATTAACTTGTATCGCTGATAAGTCATCATTATGTTAACGAGGCAGGGCAACTTAACAACTCGTTTTAAATGTACTTGACTGTATACTTGTAATGCAAGACGTTTTAACACTTACTGTAAATAGTTTGAGATAAAGATAAAAATATAAAAAGTGAACCATTAAAGCAGCCAATTCTCGGTGAACCAAAAATAAAGTTTGTATAATGATATATATTTTAGAAAAAGCATTACAACATCCAAAGCCTGTGGAAGACAGCATGCCAGGTAGTTCTCTACAAACAAAAAAGGACGAAGAAAGTATGTCGACAGTCATAATGCGTCAGATGGAAGATGGTCGAGGCGATTTAGAGGAAGAAACTTTCCTTGAAACATCTTTTGACATTATCCCCATCAACTGTCCCGATGATTTCCTATTTATGTATCCTGTTATGCCAGGTATTTTAATTGTTAAAATTTATTACAATAAAAAGAATTTTAAGACAAGAATTTTCGCGTTACTTTTGTCAGCCTTTTTTTTTTTAATAGTTACAAAAATAGTCTGTTTTCAAGAAGTTGTCAATGGTTATCGGTATTTAAAGGGATTAAAGGTATGTTAGAAAAGTGACAACAATTTTTATACAATTTTTATACTCTTGTGTCCGTACGTAAGAAAAACGATTACATAATAGTGGTCAAAATAGTATAATAAATTCACACGAAACACAGTCATTATTTACTCGATAAAATGGTATTAGCAAATAATAAAGTTCTTTAGGAAATGCAAGAAATATTGTCAATGAGTGTTGGGTTGGAAATAGAATACATAATCTGGTCTTTTTTTAGGAAAATCAGCAATCAGCGATTCCATGGGCTCCCTTTTACTTCAATTTATGTGCAAAGGTGAAAATGTGGAAATGTTGATCAAGGGCAATAGCTTGCTACAGTATCTGACTTATGTTAGCCGAGACATGGCCGCCGCCGAATATCTACCAGATCTTGAGATGACTTCTGAATCAGAGGAGGACAGAATAAAGAGGCTAAGAAAATATCTATCGCATAGTATAAAAAAGCTGAGTGAAGACAAACAACTGGTTATTAAAGAGCTTCGAGCAAGTCACGCTGAAAACATAAAAACAAAAGATGACCCAATACTTGTTGAAAGATATTTGAACGACAATTTGGAAAACTTTACCGTAACAGAAATGCAGGGACTTCTGAAACACCTGATGCCTTTAAAGATGTGTGCATGCATTATTCATCGGCTTAGAGGAGATATTTTACTCACTCCCAAGAGCAAGAAAAGCCCGATGGCAAAACTTTTAGATTATTTCAGAAAAGTGCTGAGCCCCCGCCAGAGTAGAAAAGCTCAAACGTGAATCTATTTATGTAGACAACCACCATTAAAATTGTACCTTTTTAACATTTGACAAACGTGACGTTTGAATTTTCCAATACAGGACTGCTTAAAATTCATGAACAATTTACAAGACAAAATTAGGGAGATACCTTACGCTATTTTTCAAGGAGAGTAAATTTCCTCTGTCGATTGTCGTATCTGGCTGTTCCATTCATCAGCCTAGTGTCTCCAAAGTAAAAACCAAACGAGTTTACATGAAAAGTTCAACTTTTAAGTGTCGAATATATCTTTAATTTCAATTATTAATTTAACTATTTAAACTTACGTATCACTCTGGATTGTATAGTGTTATTCTGTTAAAGTTTACATATATCGGCACATTTTGTTCAAATCATTTTCTCTTTATCAGTTTCCTGAAGGCATATATTAGCGAAAGAAATTGGTGGTTATAATATATTGATTTTAGAACTGTCATGCAAATTGCCATATATGAATTACATTTCATATAATTATCTAATTCTAGTGCAACTTTTCTTACTAATTTCCAACAAAAAAATACCTATATGTTTAAGCTATAAGTATCTCGAATTTTAATGCCTTAATTAAGTGAAGTACCTTTGTAAGATATTTTCAAGAAAACTTAAAAAGGACCCTATATTAAAAAGTAGCATTGAAATAAATGTAAAAGTTTTGTATTGTATTCTGATATCGGTAAGATTTGTGTTACTTAGATTTTTTTAAACTAATTCCAAATGCCAGTTAATAATATAGTATTTGTTCGTACATATATAATCATTTTCTAGTTGTGTTATGCTTGAAATGAAACACAATTTAAAGCTATTTACACTAAGTACACATGTATATTAAGTTTATGTAAACTTTTAATGTTGTGAAACTTATTGTTTATAAAATGTTTCTTTTCATTGAAAATATGATCTAATCGCACCATTAAATGCATGTACTAATGACGTTATTTTTAATTATGACGTACCATTTTTTTCCACTGTGTATATTTATTATTTGTATATCAATATATAAGTGATGGAACCGACTGCTGTGTACCAACATCTCCATTTTATTTCACCATTATACCGGCATGTAATGTATAAATCATTGAAATCTAAATGTTACATGGAGATTATTGTCATTATTGGAGAGATCAAAACGGCATACATTTTTGCGTTTCTTATTGAAGTTAATGAATCTCATTTAAAACCTAAAATCATCAGAACCATTCTACAATAAAATGTTATGCTCACTCTCCGCTTCATAATACGACTTTATTAAAACGAAAATATACATGGAGATGAACAAATCGGTATAAGGAAAAATCGGAACATATAGTTTACGTTAAATTAAACACGAGTGAAGAGTGACAGTTTTTAATCCTGTGAACTGTATAAATTAATTTTTGATTTCTGAAAAGCAATTTACTATTTCATGTTTCGAAAAATAAGGACAGTAAACACTATTGCTACAATATCCCTAATCACCATCATATGACCGACTAAATCCTGTACCGAAATTTTGCTGCCGAATTCGACAAATCAGATATTCTTACTTTTCCGTAATTTGAACAATAAAACATATCTGACACAGCTGCAAAAATACCTCTCGCATGCTTTTTTTAAAAGGAGCAAACTTGTATAACGATACAGACTGTCGTGTAGCGGTAACACCAGAACATGATTTTGTGATTTTCCATGCTACTCCAACATGGACTTGATATATAGATGAAAAACAATATACCGGTTTAAAATACATGTATCATTAAATCAACAAGTTTATGTGATAAAACTAAACAAAACAACATTACTATCCATAAACTAACAAAATTAAACATCGTGACTACGTGACAACCTGAGGAAATAATTAATGGCATCAAGCATATGGCATGAAACTAAGAAAATTTCTTGGGTTTAATGTCATATGCTTGGGCCATTTATCATTGAAATAAAATGTAAAAATAATATACAGTAAAAACCCTCAATTAAGACCACCATCGGGTCTGGACCAAAGTTGTCTTAATTGCGGGGTGGTCTTAGTTTTTGGATATTCTTATCATTGCTTACACACGTTATGACCAGGGCGTATTTTAGTCATTTTGTATGAACAAACAATTAATATGTATCTTAACCTTCAAATACAATATGAAAGTATGTTAATACATCTGATGAGAAGAAAACTTATTTCTGAAGAAATTTTTTAATATCAAATTTTCTTTGCTCTGATTTCAATATTTATTCTGTATGATGTACATAATTCAAAAAATCATGTAAGACATTATTTTTTCACAAAATAAATGTGCATACAGCACAATTAAACCTCTCTGAAATTAACTTTCTCACCTTTTTCATGAAATATCCCATAAATAACAGTTTTGACACCTTGTGTAATCAAGTGTCATGCCTAAGAGCAATCAAGCAGATAATAAAAACATCACAACACATTTAAGATCTAGGAAGGTGTTGATTTTAATATCAGTGGTCTCAATAGAGAGGTCAAATAAAGAACAAAATAATGAATTGGGACTGAATTTGGTGGTCTTAAAAGTGGATTAGTGAGGTGGTCTTAATTCTGGATTGACATAAAGAACAGAAAATTCCGTAGAATCTCTACTAAAGACCACCTCGGAATTAAGACCACCCCGCTTTTAAGACCAGTTTTTAAAAGAACGGAATTTTCTGTTCTTTATGTCAATGGTGAGAAAGTAAATTTCAGAGAGGTTTAATTTTGCTGTATGCATATTTATTTTGTGAAGAAATAATGTCTTACATGATATGTGATTTATGTACATCATACATACTAGTAATTAATATTGAAATCAGAGCAAAGAAAATTTGATAATTAAAAAATTTCTTCAGAAATAAGTTTTCTTCTCATCAGATGTAACATTATAACATACTTTCATATTGTATTTGAAGGTTAAGATACATATTAATTGTTTGTTCATACAAAATGACTAAAATACGCCCTGGTCATAACGTGTGTAAGCAATGATAAGAATATCCACAATTAAGACCACCCCGCAATTAAGACCACTTTGGTCCAGTCCCGATGGTGGTCTTAATTGAGGGTTTTTACTGTATAACTAAAATCATTTGATTATAGATAAATCAAACTAACAAGAATAGATGTAGCATTTCATACAGATGTAAACAGATAGATATTTACGGGAATCAAAATCCATCCTGACTGGCCATTTGTGATCTTCATCCTTACCATTCATTTTTCCTAATTATAATGCAAAATTGTAAACATAAAGTCCAGCTCACAAATTTATGTCCAATTTTTTAAATGTCCCGTAGTTCTTGTGATAACTCTGAAGATGTCCTAGCTTTCTTGTGATGACTTTTGTTACTACCATTGTGTACCTTGCGCTAAATCACGGCACATTTTAGCGTTTTCAATATTCAAATTATGAAACTCAATACGCTTATAAATCCTTTGCACAAAAAAACGGATATATCATGTTGGTTTTAGTGTATTGTAGTACAAAAGATATTATTTTCAATGTTTCATTTCGTAGACCGGAAAAAGGATTGGTCTAGAGCAGTGTCTAACGTGATAAAATAAACCTTTGAAATCAATACTCAAGCATGGTGTCTTCAAGTATACATTAAAGGACTTTTTGTTACAATAATGCAAAGATTTGGAATAGAACACCATCTAATATACGTTCTTCAAATTCTCTGAGATCTTTTAAAGATAAGTAGAAAAGACTATTTTGCAAATATAATAAATATCTTTATAACGCTGTCATTAATATAATACTAATAAAAAAACAAAATCTAAATGGAAGAATTGTTATTTTTTTATGATGTTTTGTGTTTGTGTTTCTATATATTGTTAAGAAGACCACATTTAAAATAAGGTATGATATTTGTTTTCTACGATGGTATATCTTCATGTGTTACCTTCTATTCTTTGAATGTGCTCGATATTATTATACAGAAACTGAATATGAGCCGTGTCATGACAAAACCAAAACAATGGGTTTGAGACCAGCATGGATCCAGACCAGCCTGCGCATCCGGCAGTCTGATCAGGATCCTTGCTGTACGCTATCAATTTCTCTACTTGTAGTAGGGTTTGTAAGTAAAAAGTATGGATCCTGATCAGACGGCGCAGATGCGCAGGCTGGTCTGGATCCATCCTGGTCGCAAGTCCATTATGTTGGTTTTGTCATGACACGGCTCATATCTTCTTGTTTACCAGTTGCGGAGTGTCGATCCTGCATCAAAACAACGCTTATGTACGCAAGGTATCCGACACTGTTGGAACTTGCGGGGGAAAAGTACACGAAAGGAGTTTAATCGGATCCCACACCTCCCACACAAAATGATATTATATATACGTGACAAATAATTGTTAACATTTATAATAAAACAAAATTTATTTATGTTACACAATAAGGTTGCGGGGAACGTGTGGTGCGAAAAACTTACTGGTTCAATAAAAAATTAAAAACTCCTACACATCCACACGGAATTCAGATCGTAAAACAACATAAACGATGACGTTAAGTTGGCGGAAATTTTATTACTACATTGATAAAACCTGAATACATGATCTCTAGAGTAATTTAACGGTAAAATGCTTGATAATATTGAAATAAAGATTACAGTTAAGGATATTTGAGTGATAAAGTACAAAGTATTACAGTGTGTTACATACAACATGTAAATAAAACGTAAACAAAGGGTAAATTAAGGTAAGGCAATACTCAATTAGCGGTGCACCACATCATTTGAAACTATAACATAATCCATATAGATAGTTTATGTAGTTACTGTATGAAATATAAGATGAGTGTATATTTTAGTATTATTTACCTTATTATATTAACCTTATCAAATTTCGCATTTATAAAAACATGATTATTTAAATTTGGGCCAAAAAGAATAGATAAATGCTTTAATTTGTCAAGTGATTTTCATATTCAACAAACTATTAAATGTATAAAACTACGGAATACCGTAAGGGCCATCTTGGTTATACTTCATAATCCAATGAACGACAATCTATAGTTAGATGACGACAATACCACAGTGCGGTGACGACAGTGCGATAGTGCCATGGCGACAGTGCGGTAATGCGATAGTGCCATGGCGACAGTGCGGTAATGCGATGACGACAGTACGATAATGCGACAATGCGATATAACGATTGCGACAATGCGATGGCAACAGTGCGATAACGCGATGACGACATTGCGATAATGCTATGGTGATAATGCGATAATAATCTCGTGTTGTCGCCATCGCGGTATCGTACTGTCGCCATTGCGTTATCGTCATCGTCACATTAAAGTATAGATAAGAAATTCACGGCAAAATAACATATTTCTCTGGATATCTAATTGGTCAGCAGTTGTCACTGTAAGTGTAACTAGTCAACAGCTTATACATAATGTTTAACCCTTACCTCATATAGACGTGTTTTCACGTTATTAACCCCCTCCATCCTTTTTGAGGCCTAAAATGCCCACGTTATTAACCCCCTCCATCCTTTTTGAGGCCTAAAATGCCCGATTTAATCCCAAAACATGATCACTTTTGTATTTTAATGAATACAGACATTTTTTACAAAATACTCACGCGGTAATTATGCATTACTGTAGCTGGTCAGCAAATTTTACTATACATGTGTACGTTTAAGTGGTCAGTAGTTTCTTGCATAATGCACAGTACGTTAAAATAAAACTATGAAAACATTCGTTATATAGTGTGGAAATATCATTTAAACTTGGACTGCAAATATTTAATATTTCACGCGTTTCGATAGTAATAGCGTGAAATTATTGTCTATCGCGTTACGCATTCAAAAGGGTGAATACTGGTCAGTCGTGTTTAATGAATCGTGACTTAACTCAATATGTATATTGTAATGTGTAAAGAGGGTCATTCTACCAGACGATTTCACAGAGACACGTTGTATAAATATTTTACACTTCCAATTTAGCACGTGGCGGCCGTTGCGACTCGGGATGGAAGAAAGCAGTATTTTATCTAGTTTAGAGTCTTTGTTAGATTCTAGACTGCAGACATTTGAGAAGAAAATAAACGAAATTTCACAAAATCAAATTTCGGCGTGTACTAGTGGTACTTATGTGTTCAAGAAGAAAGGCCACGAGCAACAGTTTATGGTGAACGCTAAAGTTATGGATAAAATGAGACAAGCAGACGGTTATCTTGCTACCATTACTGAGGAAGATTCGAATTCGTCTGCTAGCAGTGCCAGAGAAAAAATTTCAGAAGGTATGGACATTTTGTCACATCGTCAAAAATGTTTAAAATTGGCCGACAGTTCAGAGCATGGTTGGCGTGTCGTACAAGAGTACGAGTCTCATCCATTGGCGGAAAACTCCGACGATGAGAAGAAAATCTACAAGGCACAAATTCAAGCAGATAGGAAGGTTCGTCAGGAACGTCGAGTACGAGCTAGACGCTTTTCACCGTACCCTGCTACTAAAGCGTCGCCAGCTTCAGATAGTCGTCCTCCGAATCAACAGACAGCAAACAGGAAACCAGGGCTATGCTTCAAGTGTGGGAAACCCGGGCATTGGCGGGCAGAGTGCCGCATGGACTTGCAGGCTGATAAGAATGGCAATACACAGATAAGTATAAATTATGGTTCATTTTTGTTAAATGGAGTTGAGGAGTCTGATAACTTTAATATTGAGAAAATGAAGTTAAGCTATAAATGCTCTAATGATTTGATAAAGAATGTTTCACATATGTCTGACAATGATAAGATTTTAGATAAAGTAGTGTCTCCGGTTGGGAGATTGCATAATTGCATTAAGCACTGGCAAGAGGCGGAGCCAGGTGAATATATTTTAAGTGTAGTTTCAGAAGGATATAAGTTGCCTTTTAAAACATTACCAAAATCTGTTGAACTTACAAATAATAGGTCTGCCAGAGAAAATGCTGCATTTGTTTCGAGTGAGATTCGAACCCTTCTCACTAAAGGTTGTATAGAAGAAGTTGCAGAGGCACCTTTTGTGGTAAACCCGTTAACTGTTGCTTATAATAGGCATGGTAAACCGAGGTTAGTCTTAGACTGCCGACATATTAATCCAGATTTATTCAAGTACAAATTTTGTTATGAAAGTCATGACTTGGCGAGACAAGTCTTTTCAAAAGGTGATTTTCTGTATACGTTTGATATTAAAGGGGCGTATCATCATATTATGATATTTCCCCAACATGCAACTTATTTAGGTTTCTCATGGACAGAATTGGGAAAGAAGAGATATTTTGTGTTTCGGGTTTTGCCGTTCGGTATATCTACCGCCGGATATATATTTACTAAGGTATTACGGGTAGTAATCAAGAAATGGAGAAATTTGGGGATGAAAATCATTTTGTTTTTAGATGATGGTTTAGGTGGTGCTAGCTCTCTTGAGATGGCCAGGGAAAACAGTATTTTTGCTAAAAAAGATTTGATTAGTTTCGGTTTTCTGTTAGCCGAAGATAAGTGTCAGTGGGAGCCGATTCAGCAAACTATTTGGGTAGGCTATCTTTGGAATACATGTGAGGGTGTGCTGAAAGTAACGCAAGAAAGAATAGATCGGACTGAATCATTATTACAGTTTTTTATTACTTCTGTATGCAAGGGCGTAGTTTTGTTTTCGGTCAAAAAGGTAGCATGTTTAACGGGTCAGTTGATATCGATGATGAGTGTTTTTGGTTCGGTAGTAAGACTCAGAACCCGATATTTATATGAATGTGTAAATAGCAGAGCAAGCTGGAATGCTCCAGTCAAAATAAGCAGTGGTGCATTTGATGAGCTTATTTATTGGCGTGAACATATTAGAAATTTGAACAAGGGTTCGTTATTTTCTGAAATAGGTGATACGGCATACGTCTTTGTTGACGCCAGTGGAGCTGGAAGTTGTAATTATGCAAACGTCTTTGTTGACGCAAGTAATGTAGGTTTTGGGGGTTACATACAGGGTGTTGCAGACAGCGATGTAATCGGTTCTTGGTTAGAATCCGAGAGCATTTTGAGCTCCACCTGGCGTGAGCTCGAGTCTGTATATAGGGTTGTACTCTCAAATTTACCTTACTAGTATCTCCATGGTAGAGAAGTGTTGATAAACACAGATAATAAAAATGTGTGTAGTGTGTTGCAAAATGGTAGTAGCAAACCACAATTGCAAGAGATAGCATTAAAGGTAGATAAATTGTGTGATGACAAACAAATTAATTTACATTCTCGTTGGTTACAAAGAAAAAATAATGTTGAAGCTGATTTTCTGAGCAGATGTTCGGACAGTGATGATTGGTCAGTTGTTGACTGGATTTTCAAAGTATTAGATGACAAATGGGGAAAGCATACCTTTGACCGTTTTGCGTGTCATTACAACACTAAATGTAAATGCTTTAATTCAAGATACTGGTGTCCGGGTACAGCAGGTATAGATGCTTTTGAGCAACTTTGGGTCGGTGAGAACAATTGGTTTGTTCCACCGCCAAGATTAATAGTAAGGTGCGTCAATAAAATTAATAGCGACAAATGTAGTGGTACTTTAGTGGTGCCATGTTGGCATTCGGCACTATTTTGGCCATGTCTTTTTCCAGCAGGGAAACCAGCAAGCTTTATCAAAGATGTATTTATGTTTCAGCCTGGAGTTCTTACGAAGCGTGGTTTTGGCAGAAACGGCGTTTTTGATGGGAGGCCGTTGAATTTTAGATTAATAGCTATAAGATTTTGATATGTATAGGTGTGTTATATTTTGTGTGTGTTTTCCTTCAGGTTTAAACTTGAGACGGTGCATTGAGGATGAGG